CAAAAACTACTCGACCGATTTCGCTGATATTTTCACACTTTGTTTTTAGTGATGGGCTTGTTTAAAGAGTGGTTTAAATTAAATCGGTCATGTGGAGGCGTTGATGATGACGATTCAAGCACCCATCAGCTCTACGCAGCCTGCCACAGAGTCAAGGATTAAGCGCATCTTCACTCTATACAAGAATTCCGCCCCGGCGATTGTGAAATCTTGGCCGGAATTATTACTTGAATCTCGGACAATAAAAATTATATTTCTCCAAGATAGTGTCGTAGCGAACGTATGCCCAAATTGGAGGGAGAACGTATAAACAATAGGATATTTGACAGCCATGTCCAAACCCATACATCAGAGAAAACTATTAGATTTTTTCATCGCATAGCGTAAAACATGATTAACAATCACGTGACCAGAAGTGTGTGTTGTAAAATACACTGCAATAGCGAAGAATTGCCGCATCCTCTAGTTAATAAATAAATGTCATGTACAAAAATACTTATATTATTAAATAATGTATTAACTATACAGTAATAGATATTTTTATATTTAATTTATGGGAGAGGGCGCGATATCATTCGGTTTGCCCCAGGTGAAACTAACTGAAGGTACGCCACCATAGCATATTTATTCTGTGGATCGAGGAAAAGTGGATGAAAAGCCGCCTATGGTACATGGCGGGCTTTACACTACATATCGAACTTCATTCTTGCTGTTTCTAGATGGAACTTGTATGTCTCAACCACGTATAAGAACGCTCCCAAGACGTGTGCTCATTATCTCTTATTAGAGGTGTGTTATGAAACAAGATCCCACAGTTTGCAGTGAAGGACAATGTCAAAGACCCAAGAATCAGGCGCGATTCCAAAGGCACATGCAAGACGACATATTATATATGATTAGGAAGCACGATTTTTCTGTACCTTTTTATATATTTGATTTTATTTATTAGTCAAAAACTGCATGTGAGGTGCGGTCGAGAAGTAACATTTTAAGAGATCAATCGGCTGGACAGAGTGACCAAGGAATGGTCTTAATTTGACATTTGTAGCCCATACGCGTGTAGAAACTACTTCAATTACAAATATTTTAGCTCTAAATGTTAATGATTTATTCTGAAAAAATGCAATTTTAAAACGGCTACAAGCACGTGGCCTATTCTGTGCTGCGCTCTATGGCGAGCAGCGAAAGTTTCCCTTCTACCCCAGGCGAAATGAATTTTTAAATTGTTAGTTCAAAATAAAATAAAATATGAATAAATATAGAGATATAAGTAATATAAAGAAGAAGAAGAAGAAGAAGAAGAAGAAGAAGAAGAAGAAGAAGAAGAAGAAGAAGAAGAAGTGTTACATCAGGAGCGGTAGCTTTCATAATAAAATTCACAAACATTATTTTCATGCAATACCTAGGCAGGTCTGATTAACTTGTAAAACACAAAGTATTTTTTAAAAAGGCTGATGTTTTGCATTGTATTGAAGTGGAGATAACAAATCAATTATTTGGAAAAAAAACGTAAATAAATATATTTTTTGTGGATTCTATTGATAAAATGACAGGAAGGTCTCAGACATCAAATTAAAAAAATACAATTAATAGCACCAATTCAAAACCTATACAATGATATGAAAAACTGTACGAAAGATAACGAATCTATTTAAAATCTCTAAAGGCCTGAGACAACGATGCTGTGTAGCTCCTAAAACTCGTCAATATATATTTAAATGCTGTTCTTGAAATTGCAGTCATACTTGTCAAAATATGGGGATAGAAGTTGACATTAATACATTTTTTACTCTTTATTTTGCTGATGACCAAGTAATTATTGCCAAGGATGAACAAGATGTAGGTTATATACTGAGGAAACTCAAAGACTCTTGGGGTTTAACTATATATCCATTGAAAACAGAATATTGTTGCAGGGTCGCACGGAATACACTTAATAATTGGGAACAGATGAATTAAAAATGCAACAGCTTATAAGTACCTTGATGTATATGTATCAAAGGAAGATGGTTGTACAGAAGAAGTAACACATAAGATCTTTTAAGGGAGAGTAGTGACAAGACAGTTGAGTAACGGTTTGTGTAACCAAAAAATAACAAGCAAGACAAAGATAAGAATACACAAATTGCTAGTTGAAAGCATATGTACATTTGGTTCAGAAGTTTGTATTCTAAGTCAGTGGGAAGAGAAAAAATAAAAATCAATGGAAATGAACTACTGGACATGCTGTTGTAACCTTACACTACTGGATAAAGTACCCAATGTTGACACAAAAAATCAAATAGGTTTTGATATTGATATAATAAATATAGTCAATGTTAAAAGATAGAGGTGGTATGACCATATCCAAAGGATGGTGGAAAGTCAATGGCCAAAGAAAATATTAAAATGGTTACCTCAAAGCAACAGGAAATGTGCCCAACTAAAAGTACATGAGAACAAGATAGAAAAAGCAATGAAGAAACGAGATGTCAAGAGGAAGATTGGGAAGATCGAAGGACGTGGAAACTAGGAGGCAAGAAGAGGTATCAGCTGAAAAGAACCTACTACTATTTCCAACTTTTGGCACAAATTGATTAAATGCTGGTAAAACACAAAAATATTCATTTTCTGAGTAACACATTTGAAGACCAATTAAACCCTGAATTCCTGTAAAGAACAATTTAAAAATACCAAACTAGTATAATTTCAATTTTGTTTAGTAAGAAATGTTTTTTTTTCTGGTTTAAAATAAATTTATTAAGTTGTGCAAATTAAATCATTCTTTCAAAAATGATTTTTAATGCACTTTGTGTTTACAATGAGCAGTATGTAAAGATTTAAAAGTAAACCTACTTAACTTCAATAAGTTTTCCATTTTCATTGCTTTTCATTTTATTTATTTTAATTAAGCAAGGGACCATCTCCTGTCTGCTCAATGGACCAAGTAAAACAAAGAAAATCCCAGACAAGCATATTACAAAATTAACTTGTGAACAAGTATTAGGTCTATTGTAAAATAAATATTTCAATTTCATTCCAAATTCTCAACAGTCTCCCATGGGATAAAAACATTTACATGGTGTAAATAAATAAAATCGTAACCATGACATTAATGCAATTGTTGATAGATAGTGATTCCAGGCATGCCAATTACTATGGTCATTAGTCTTGTGTGTGTAGTTCTTCCTTGAGAGGTGGCTTTGGGCTCGATGGCGACTTACTGTTGGCAAACAGGGTTTTCCTCAACCAGGTTTCTCCCATCAGTGGGGCACCACCCCAACCGGAACAAGCTCTATGGTCCCGACTGGTCTCCCAGCATGTGTAGTATTGTAGTGCATGTAGTGTAGGGGGGGGGGGCGAGGATAGGACAAGAAAGGGGTAGGAAAGATTGTGTGTGATCCGTGACCTGTTTGTTAAGGTACTGCTCCAGCATTCGCCTGGTGGTGATTGGAGAACCCCAGAAAACTTGATCAGAGCAGCCAGCCCCTAGAATTCTCCTTCAAACAGTAATCTTCCTAGCTGACAAGCTATTGTCAAAAATCCTGCCACCGTTGGAATTTGAACCTCCCAGTCAGAGGGACTGCTGTGACGTTAGATGATGCCCCGAGCCATCTTTCCCAGTAATGCAGTTGTTCGTTCATAGAAAACTGATATTAAAAAATGTAATGCAATCGCACACATACATATACGTTATTTCAACAGACAATTTACTCAATTTATGTTTTATAGATTGTCATCTAATAATCTACATATATTTATTTGGTTTGTGTCTTGCATTTTCACAATTGAAAACAATATTAAAATATTCAAAAATAGTTCAACTGTTTGTGTAGTGCACAAAAGTGCACGGTAATACATTTTTGTTCAATGTTGATATTGTCCTCAAAAAGAACTGCATTATATCCAATTAGCTGCTTCCAATGACCCACACACATTTAGATCATGTCTTGTGGATGTCCAGATACATTAATTTAGTAATATCAATTTAGCCTCACCCTCATGTCCTAAAGAAGTGGCTTATTTATTAGCAAACTACTTATTAAATCTACTCAATGTGAATAATTATTGTATTATTTTGCTGAAAACAAAACTTTATTCTGATACATAAATATAAAAAAATTAATCACAACGATCATTGAAAGACGAGTATATTTAGCATTATGAGAGTGCCAAACAACTAAAATACACATTGTTTTCAAGTGATGCAGCACTATTGGTTTTCCAACATAGTTATTTATGATGCAAGAGGTAAAGTGTCATTTTATGTTGCAAGTAGGAAATATTGTGACATGAGGCTGATAGGCACAATCCAATGAACAAAATAAAATTACTTTTACATTTGTCAAACACTATTTTTTAAAGCAGCCTTACAGACTTTCACTTTATTTTTATTCAAGCATACAAATTACTTGATTAAAATGATTAACGTTGGGAGTAGCTAATACTGTCATACTAAATCATTGTTTACTTTATTGCATTACCAGATTTACCTGAACCCTTTCAGCATTGTCTTACTTTAAGCACTAGTGTAAACATTGAACTTTCAGCACATTTTGACAACAGTCTAAAACAATATCTAGACCCCGTTTCTCTTTACCTTCTAACTTTTCCCTGCATGAAAACTTTGCTATTCAAGATTGCACTTAATACATTTCTAACCTCTCTTTTTCACTTTCAATAAATCTAAAATTGAACCTGAATATTCAACCAAAGCCAGAACTTTACAGCATGTATTGTAAGCCTTATTACACTGGCTTCGAACTGTCTACTGTGCACCTGTAAAAAAAAATTCTTCAAAAAACTGCATTTTCATAAATTTGTTATTCTTTACAAGCATAACAGAAAATTTTAAAGTACCTGTTATATTACAGCCTCAAGTCGTTTTCATTTTGCAGCACCTCCTATCCATGTGAAAATATTTGTCTCCTTAAGATACTTCACAATTTAAGAAGGTGAGCGAGAGTTTAATACAAAAGTTATTTTTAAATATAAATATATTTTGTGAAAATATAAATACATCTTATTTTGTATAGTTTTAAGTTCAGATGCTTTAAGTACAAAATTAGAGTGCATATAGAATAGTGTTCTCTTTTCAAATACCAAATACAGGAAGAAAAGCTATCAGAGAGCATACAACATGCATCAAAGATTATGAACATACATACAGTATAAAGATTCTGAATAAAAAACCAGTCCGCTAGTGAAAGAATTATCGGTTACATTGTTCACTATTGAAACATACGACAGTATTTACTATGTCTGCTGCCTTTCCAATAAGACTTTAAATCAATATCTAGATGTTGGATGATGAAAAATTACACTATCTTTAAAATAACCCATTACTGAACAAATTAGAAATTGTATGCCAAAATCTACAAAAGACTGATGTTTAGAATCATTATATACATTGTACCTTATAGTACCACACATGCACACACAACATACTAAACAATATAATTACAAATACATTCTGTCAAATAGTGAAGCACATATTCATAGAATCCCACCATAGGTGTGTGCAGCCAAATTGAAGAGGGGTGCTGGCAACTACATTTCTGGGTCCCCTTTTTTATTTACATACAATATATTTTACTAGTAAATAAACCCTACGAGAATAACAGGACATTGACATGTCATTCAATTAATTTTACGTCGGACCGTTTATACAAGGTTGTCAGATGACTTTCAGAACCGTTTCCCCAAATTTTCAGGTTAAAAACTGAGGAAATCAGATTTAAACATACTGAAGGAAATAAAATGTTTTTATTATGCAAGGTACGGGTCCCTCAAATTTTTCAGGGAGATCATGGCATTCCTTGACCACTCCCCTTTGAATCCCACAATACTATGAACTAATCTAGTTTTATTGTTTATGAGATATTCATCAAGTTTCTATTTAAAAATAAGAACGAAATAAGTCAAGTTTCAAGTTAAGATTCAATTTGTAATAATTGAACATTAGAAAGAACATTTCCCTACTTTACTTTGTAATGGATACATCTCAAAGATGCTACAATTCTCTTTGTAAATTAACCCACTTCCACAAATTTCCTCGCCAGAATTAACCTTTGCTATGAAAAGGTGTATTTTACACACAAATAATGTGTTTGAGCACACACAATGAGATATGCAAAGACCAAAAATATGTAAATTAAATTATAACCAAATGGATGCACATATAACAAATTTAATTAATAACAAAAAATCTTATATCAACATTTAATATATTACTTTACTAACTTAACATACTTAACCATCCAGTATTCTTAACCTTAAAGATTCCTATCAAGAGCAAATGGAAGTCTTTGTGAAAATATCATTCCAACCAAACTACACCAAGCAAATCCACACCAAACCAAATGCACTTTTTACACACATGTGTAAGCAATAATTTCTCACTTCAGTCCTTCAACTCAACTGAACACCCACCAACACAATCTCACATCATCCCACAATGAAAACTAAATACACAAAACAGTTGTTGCATTGATAGAATCCCAAGCATATTAGCAATTTCTGAAAGACAATTCTTTAGGTCTGTATTCTCAATAATATGTACATAAAAGACATTCCTTCTTGTACTTCTCAGAATTATTCCATAACTGATGCAGTACAAAATTTCCCAATCATTATTTACATTAATTTGTACAGAATAATTTGAAGTTCAATACAAACAAGCAGCACACATGATTTTCAAACAAATACATAAAAACAATTAACTTTGGCAAATCTCGGGAGAAAATAATTCAGCCATTGGATACATAGTATTGATTTTTCACATTGTTTTGATCACTCCAACTTACGTGTTCAATATAACAAGGAAAAATTAAATAATCTACGCTACTTAGACAGCAATTGAAAGAAAAACTGCATGCTTTAAAAATAAATTACTTTCCTTCAAAAAATTAGATCAAAAAAATAACTGTCCATCAATTTCCAAGGTTCAATACTATCACCATGCTGTACCGACAAAATGATGTGAAATAAATATTACGCAACAAATCTTGCAAGTAAAAGGACACTGGTGAAAAACAGTTCAGGCATCCTCCACACTGTGGAAGCTGCACTTGTTCTAACAGATGGTTCAGAAGAATATGCTTTCATATTTTGACAAGGTGTCATCTTCACAACGAAATTAAATAAACTCTCCACAATATTTGCAGGTGTAGGTTCAGAACATTTTTCCAGAGATGAAACCATACACTCTTGGAACTGCTGGATAGACCTGCAAATAAAAAATAATTAATATTTGCAAGAAATAACTTCTAAAAGAATAGGGTTCCCTTGCTCACTAATAAGTTCACTTACTGGCATTCCTTCTCATCCAACACAAGAAGTGGTATCTGGGAAAGAGGTCCACCAGTACCCTCAGTGGCAGGCATGTATTTGCCCACAGTGGTATTTGCACAATGCTGAATTTCTTCCTGTTTAGACTGAAGACATTCTGGTCCTCCCTCAGCAATGAATACTAAACAAAACAAGCAATGCATTGAATACAATCTGAAATTCAAGTGGTCATAATTTAAACAAAAGCATTTAATAGACAGGGTAAACATTTTCTATTGAAGGATTGCATGAATTCAAGGATTAAATTAATATTCGCATTTTGATGAATAATTGTCATTACAAGATCTCTGAGAATCATGAAACAAAGAATTCTTAGAAAATGAATTTATGATAAATCTATGTAAGTAAAATGTAAAGTAAGGTAAAATTATAACAATATATATCACTGATACGAAACATAATGAGTATATTACTTTCTTACACACAAAGAACTTACACTGAAGCTGTTCTAATGCTGTCAGAAAAAGTGCCAGTTTTTTAACAATATACATGCTTTGTGGATTCCAAATTAAATCCAGTTAAATCCTTGCTCGTAAAATACAATGTACTACTTTCTAGATTCTGGGGTATGATAATACCTTTTTCAAAAAAATAGTTTTGTCTTAAGTCATTCCATATCATCGTTATTAATCGATACAACAAGTCTCTAAGAATGATTGAGCATAGAGCACTTATTGGGGAGTAAGCATCCGTTAATATTGCTGTCGCACCTCTTTAGTCAGTTGAGAGAACCACCATAAACAAGCCTCTTTCATCACGTGCCCCTGCGTCACTATCCAGTGGCCCGCATTGGAAAGGAATTAGGCAAAGGGGAAGGTTTAGGACACTTCTTCAGAGGGGCTAGGCCAAACTTTGTGAAGACACTTTGTTGGAACAAATTTCACATGAGCTTGTCCATGAATCAAACCCAAACAACCTTTGTGAAAGGCAAGCGACCGCTCTGAGCCACAAGACTAATCTGGAAAAGTGTTGTGTTGTTTCCAAAACTTCTTTGAGCTTCACGTTTAGTCATCGTCTAGAAACTTATTAAATTTTTTCTCAAAATTTTTAGATCAAACTGGCCAAACTAGGTTCTGAAAATTTCAAAAGGATCTTAATTTTTGATTTATGCTATATGAAACTACAGGACATTTTAATTACTTATTCTTAACTATTTTTTTTTCTTAAATTTTGTGCTTGAATAGAGCTTGGTAAACAATGCAGGTCTGACTTCCATTAAAATCTCAAACTTTGAATGTTGAAAACTTATTTGAAATCTCAATACATACAAAACTATCCTTCAAAATTAAATCTACTGGTTATTGCAGTCTTGTCACAACTGTACCCAACTATTAAATTACTATTCATCTTCATAGTTTCTCACTTAGCTTAATTTAAGAGAATCACAACGGTTCTAAGATTCTCAATCGCAAAATGTACAATTTTTTTATTATTCATACAAATGCTCTCTTTCCTTGCTTATTAAACTGCCAAAGTGCTGTGGCCAAAGACGTGCATGTGCAGAATGTCTAAATGCTTTGCGCGTGAATGTTACTTCAATAACATTATTCTATCAATTCACAACTTCTATGTCTACAAGTAGTTTTATTTATTACTGGAACACCAAAGTAAAAGGATTTCAAGAATTTGTTCCCCCACCTCACACACACCGAAAACAACAAAAATCTAATGACCTGTTCCCTCAATATTTCAGTAAACTATGTTTATAAGATTTACTTCAATTTCAAATTTATAAAATTTACATATGAACATTTTCTCAATGATCATAAATATGCATTTTTTTGTCATTTAAAGTTAATAAAGTAAATACTTACATGCAATTCTATCACCTTCCTTGAAACAAAGGAAGCCAAGAAGTGACTCTGTGATGTTTTGTACTATTTTTTTACTTTCTTTCTCACGTTCCTCCAAGCACGGGTCTAACGTAGCAGTGAAGTTATTAATGCAGTCTGTGAAGATTGGAGACTTTCTATAAAAACAGAATATTAGTTTAACAATATGACTATTGCTGCGAAGTATTTTTATTACATGCAGGGACAATTTAAAGAAATTGCAACACAACTTGTTTCGTTTCATTCAATGGACAGAAAAAATCAAATCAGCGGGAACAACCCAATGCAAAATTGTTAACATTTTATTAACAAAGATTTCTGAAATCAAAGATTTCTGTATTTTGTAGTCCAGAAGTTTTAAGTACCCAAGATTGATAATCAATTGTTAAATTAGGAGGGGAACACACTTCAATTTTATTGTAGGCAAATTGTTGATTCCTTTTTAACACCATGTGGGATTATTCATAATGAAAATTTGTTTCATTCAATGTCTGGCAAAAGGATCCGGCTTGCTGGCTTGACAGGAAATTTAGGATACTTTCCATGTGCCAACCTAATCAGGTAGTGAATATTTCAAGAAAATACACCAAAAATAATAAGATTGTTATTCTTTATATTGTGATCTCTCTTCAATTCATCTTATTATTGAATATGTAAAGTATTACACAAGTTAATAAATCAATAAAAAATAATAAAGAAATTTCTATTACCGGCAATACTTCCGAAATACGGTATCCAAGTCTCCAGTAGGTTTGGCTTCTTCCATTTCTTGTTGTAGTTCAGTTACATTAACAAGGGACATTACACATGACTTGAAATCCTCTTGAGCGGTCTGTAAAAAAAAAATTAAAATACTAGAGGAAGAAAAAACAACCTAACTTATATGAAAATGTTATAATATTCAATAATATTATTCTGCTGCTGTAATACTGCTTTCATGAAGCACAATCATAATCCTGTGTCAGAAAGCAATCATTTTTGTTGATTGCTTACAATGCTAGAAATTATTTTAAACATATTAAAAATATTATAGAACAGAGCTATCCAATTAAGAGAACATTGATTCAGTGCTGATGGCAACTACAATTCTCTCCAGGGTGTAAGTATCCAAATTCTGAATCTTCTGATATTTATCAAATTGCAATGAATTTTTTTTGTGTGCAAGTCTTTAGAATTAATGCAGTCTGGAATAACTACTTCATTCTCTTATAACCCTAAGTACTCTAAAGTGTTGTGAACAAGGAGAACTTAACTAAAAAAATAAATTATTAAAACGGGTCAAGAAATTAAAGAAACGTTAATTAATAAATTAATAGTTTTTTTGTAGACATTCTTCCAACATTCTAATTGTGCAAGAAGTGATTAACTTAGCTCTTTATTAAAGTGGGCGTCAACAAACCACTACTAGTGGATCAGCAGTTCGCGAGAAAACCAATCTATTTTTTTTTCCACTTCTAAATTTTTTAAATCTTTATAATTTATTTTCGAACTGCCAAATAACATTTACATACGTGATAAAGAGACAATAGTTGCTCTAACTGAAAATCTGGTATCTCGAATCCCCTCACCAAAACTAATATGACATTTCAATGAAATAACACTGTTAGCGAGAAAGAGGATAACTCGCGGAGATATCTTCACGACACATTCAACATTTTAGTCTGACTGTCATGCGTATGCCTATTTAGTCTAATCACGTAATGCATCCGCGGCGCGAAAAATTGAACTCTAGCGATGACGAAATATTTCTGTAACCTACATATATTCGAAAATATATTTCTCGAAGGAAATAACTAAATCGGGTTAACGTTTTGTGAATAAAAATTAACAGAATTGGCTTAAACACATTGCTCAATGTGAAAAAAATAAGGACGTCCACACTTACTGTTTATTGAAATAACTACGTACCTAATCTTAAGAGTGAAAATCTTATAGTGCGTAGTACTAGTTTAAATATAAAAAAATCTTTACGTTTCGGCAAGTTAAAACTATCTAGAATGGTTTTGTATGTCCAATTCAATAATCTTACTATTACACTATTTCTCGAGTTATCGCAACTATCAAGCTCACTAAACTTGTGACATTTCTTTGGCGAAAACGTCAATTTGAGGTTTCACTAGAAACTTTAAAACAATCATAATTAATAGTAAAATAGGAAAAGTTATTCTGGAGCTTAAGAAAACTTGTGCAGATTATACTTCTTCCCAAACATCACAAGCAGTTGTCTTTTTTACGTTTAATTGAAATTAAATTAATTTGTACTTCACATTGAAATCTGAAAAAAAGGAAGTTCGTAAGGTATTTTTCAACATCAGGGGCAAAATTAAAAGCTGAATGAATGCAAAGTGTTGGAAGTATTATTTGTTTCTTTACAATGACTTCTCGACTTTGTTCTTAGAAGATTAAAACGCCTTTGAAAATACAATTTCACCCAAAACATAAATAAATAATACCAAATGAGATAATCTTTGACAGCTACTCACCTCCACTCTTTCATAAGCACCTGCGCCTCCTAACCGTTCGCATTTATTTTTGAGTAATTCCTTAGCTTCTTCCTCTGATGGTACGTTTGAGGCATTAATTGGCAGGTTTTGAAGTCCATCTGGTAAATTTTCGCCTAGCTGTTGCTGGATGTCTTGAATACTGGGAGTTTCCGATGCAATATCACTACTCACATATCCACACGCTCCTGAAAAGTTTAGAACAACACGTTGAAACGCAGAATGCTTTATTTAACTTCTTATAAATCCATTCGATGATGAATTTATACAGAATAAATTTTGCTATAGAATATATTAATATAACAATTAATTTAAATGCCATATCAATGGAACATTTTTGTAGAGATCTTGTTATTTAAATGTGTTCGAAACAAACATCTTAATAATCATTTCGAATGCTGCCGACAAACAATTTAATTTAGTTACATAACTCTCATCAATACTCACCCCAAAGAAGAACGCACACGATATATAGATACTTGCGATTCATTGTGACTAACCGCACACGTTATATTACAACCGCTATACACAACACACACTGCACAACAATTGCACCGTCTGTTCACACAACTTGGCAGTAATTTAAGCAAAAAATTATCTGCATTCAAAGTTCACACCAGTCCACCACCCGGCTGAAGAAACACAGCACCCTGCGACCACCGTCTGCTTGTCACTGCCCGTCACTGCCTCTCTGACTTGATCGCTGTCGAACAACCCGCAAGTCACAGAACCGGCACCAGAGAGCAGTGGGAGAAACGTCGCGATCGCCGCGAACGAGACGTCCTGATTGGCCGGCGAGAAGCGGCCCCCCACAATAACTTCCAACATGGTGACCAATGGGGTCATTCGCCGGAAGAGAGAGCGGTAATTTCGATAGCTGCCTGGCGCAGGGAAAATCATCGGTGGAAACGATTGAGAAAGAAAAGATTGAAAATGAGCAATGCATAGAAAATATCAGCACATCTCAAGAGAAAATCGACTAACAAAAATAAAAGCAAATAAAAGCTGAGGTGTGCAATTCAAGAGAAGTATTCAACGCTTTATCACGCTTCTTATTTGTCAGTTTCTACTATTCAGGAAACTTATATGGCCGTTTTTAAGATGAACGATTTTCTCGAAACTATTGCATTTACTAAACCATTATCGTATTCGTACTGCGCATATTACGCACACAATTTGCCTCATCATCAGTGTGTAATAAGCAAAATTCACCGGAAGAATTACCAGATGACCTTTGGAGTCTGCCAAATACTGTTCTTAAATTTAATTATTCTGGTGTATTGTGCTGATTACACACAATTCTGATAATGAGGCAAATTGTGAGCCTCGAAACGTTGCGAAGTACGAATACGATAATGCAATAGTTTCGAGAAAATCGTTCGTCTTAAATAAGACTATATAAATTTCCTTTATTTATCGCATTCATTGCGAATGGTTGTGGCGGCAAGGCAATGCGAGAATGTAAGCTTCAAAGAACAGCAGCGAACGACCTTCCGCCTTCGGGCGACAATCTTGTTTCCTTCCGAGTGTCGGTCTGTCCTCGGTGCAACCCGCAAGCCCGGCGCCGGCCCCAGCTCAAGGAAGCCCGCGCGGGTGCGTCGTTTTTTGCCCGCCGAGGAACAAGCAGTTCGTGCGTGACGTCAGAGGGCGATGCTCCGACGCCAGCAGGTCGCGGGGCAAGGAGCACTCCGCTCCGCTCAGTGCAGGTGCTGAGCCTGCGGCGAGCGTGGATTCAAGGCCCTCCCCCTCCCCCTCCAGACCACACGCTTCTCCGCGAGCTTGTGACGCAACAAACAACTTTTCTACAGAAAGCTCAGTCATCGTCGGACTCGCTGCTCTTGGCCCCCGGACGTGTCGCGTCTTTTCAATGCCTCCTGTTTATAACGAGAACTACGTCATTATGAGGAATGCTAACGCTGAAGAACCGATAATTGAGTTTTACGACGAACTGTCGTTGAATTAAAATGAAAGATGGCACGCTGCCGTTTTTTTTTATTTTTTATTTTTTAAATAATTGGGTCATAGCCGCACCAGAAATGTATTTTTATTTCATCTTGTCTATTTTCTTAACTAATTTTTTAACCTGTTATTTTTCGCCTTGTCTTGAATCGAATGCCGGGTTTTTACTTTTAATGCAACTTCCATTAACTTATTTGCTCTTATTTACGTACTCCCTTCATTATACTTATTTTCAAACTCTTTGAACTGGAAGTTGCAAAGTATCAGAAAAATGTTTTATTACAGAAAATGGACATTTAGCATAAGGTGACCAATTTTCGTTGAATGAAAAAAACGAAAAAATTAAAGAAAACAGTACAACATAATAAATTAAACATTTTATTAATTGAAACAAAATACAATAGTTTTGCTAACATCCCTTTTAATTATTTAATTAAATGAGTACCAATTTTTCCATTACATGAATATTTTTGTCAATATATCATTTTCCAATAATATATTAGTAATTTAGGAGCCATAAATATCTCTCATATTGGATTTTACAGAAAGTGATACAGCTAGAGGATCAACATTCAATCGTGATTTCTCAATTGATCAACTAGATTAGCACATTCGTTTTAAAACATCGAAAAGGAAAACAGGTAGGAGGACACTTTCCGAGGAAGGACAGAACCTACAAAAGAGGAATGTCCTCCCCAAAGGAAGACGATTGGTCACCTTATTTTGCATAGCATTGCTTTTCAGCATTGGATTCACATATCAGCCTCAAAAGCACTATCACGCTCATTACTGCAGTGTCTTATATCTTTATGTTATTTTCAATATAATATTGACTGATGGTATTTATCAATTTATTTGCATTCACTGAAAGGGCCAATATTTTTTACATTGAACGAGAAAATGCGTTTCCACTGAAAGGAGTTAACTATCCTATTTAGGCTGGAAGAGGTACCTTTACATGATAGTAATTCTACTTTGAGTCGAATTTGAGAATATGTTTAGGAAAGTGTGAAACGGGAATTGGTTCTTAATATGGGTTTTGTGTTGGATTGTGGCAGTCTCAGCAAATGGCATTCACTTTTTCAGTAAATCCCATTTGCTCAATAGGCATGGCCTTCGTTTTATGAAGGGGAATTTGAAATTATTTCAATAATATTTTCTTTAGACGTTTAGATAGTGTGGGGACCAGATTGATTGGGTGATAACTGTTGCTTACAGATGCATTCTTGTTTGGTATCGGAAAAATAATTGCATGTTTCCATACTTGCGGAAATGGTAATGTTTAAAGCAGAAATATATTTTGTCATCTTTTGAGGGGCCGCCCCTTATCTTTATGATTAAGAGTAGTTCAATCATGCTTATTGGATGCGCCAACCACCCAGTTAATTGATAAGTTTGTTATTTTCATATCTACTGATCTCGATATACAATCGAATTTAAGTAAAGTTTATGACAACGGCGCATCCGTAAGTCTTCTACGCGAGGGCAGGCTCAACTCTATTTTCCTATAAAAATGTATTAATGATACTTTAAAATGTATTTTTACTTTCCACCTTATTGCATAAGAAAGTTTTGAAATTGTGCGCCGAAAATCGGTGATTTTTTGGTAGAAAATCTCTTTTTGCCGGGTAACGAAAAAGTGGATAAATCTTGTTCCTTTATGTAGTCAATTACTTTTTCTATCGTATTGTGTTGTCGGATTCCACGTGTTGGGGGAAATGATACCGAAATATTGCCTTGATACCGAAATATCACTTGGCAGCAAAAGTCTTCGATCACTGCTAGCGCATAAACCGGTCAGACGATTTTCCCCCAAAATTTATATTATCTGCTAGATCTAAATGAAGTTGAGGACCTGCGATTTTGAAATAGATATTTTGAATTTGAGGATTACTTTAAATAAAGCCTTAACATCTTATCAAAAATGGCTCAAAATTTGTTTATTCAATTTTGTCTTTCGATACCGTAAAAAAACTCTCAAAAAGTTGAGAGGGTCTCATTTTCGTTGAAATATCTAAGCTTTCAAAAATAACGAAAGTTCAAAATGTTTTCGGCATTTTCTTACAAGAACAATATTCAAGAAATAGATTTCCCCTTAATGAAATCTATATTTTGATGACATCTTGAATTAAGGTCATGTACAATGTTTGGGAAATATAAGTCGTTTTTGAGTAATTTTGCGTGAAATATATGTAATTTTTAAACAATTATTTTCTCCGGCTCCAAATTCTTTTTATATATTTTTTCAATGTGTGTATGACGGCAAAACATTGATGCTGGTCCCATTTTTGGTGAACTCTGTATTTTTGAAAATTTGAATTGAAGATATTGAAGATATTTTTCTTAAACTCAATTTGTTCAGAAACAACAGATCTTTAATAAATGTCATGTACAATTTTTTTGAAAAACGAACATATTTCGCATAATTTCTGCTTAAAAATTATGTAATTTAGAAAAATTTTCTCAAAAACAATTTTAAAGCTTTTCTTTACATTTTCCACAGATAATGCAAAGGATGCATAAAAATTGCGTGGTTCTCATTTTCGTTGAACACTCTGTATTTTCGAACAATGCAAAGGTTAGAAATAATGCGAGAAATTATGTGCTTTCTAGCACCACTAGTTTAAATTCTCGTAATGAACAATTACAATTGTTTTGGTTAATGGCAATGGCTTCTGTTTGCAACTCCTCGGAGAGTACTAACGTTCATTGTATCAAATAAGAAACATTTGTATTTTTTGCGTTTAACAAGGTATTCATCATTGGATTTTTAAATTTACAATGACTTTTACGCTATCAAGATTAGAATTGAGGAAAATTTGGTTGGCATTATATTACTCCCCGACAGTCAAACTAAATTTCTTGTTTGGAACTCCCTAAAGGCAAGCCAGAGTTGTCTCTTGCAAAACGAAATCCTATTTCAGATTATTTTGCTGATCCCTTTTTCAGTGATAGCAATCATAAATCCAACAATTAATAGATATATCAATTAATTAGTCCATTAGTTATAAATCTATTATTAAATTAAAAGGTTTAGCAACTTAAATACATTTATTTTTCATTGTTATTTCTCCTTCTACTTACGACAAAGTTTTTACGCACAGATAGAACGTTTCAAGAAGAAAAAAAGAACTACAATTTTGATTTCCTTTCTCACAATATGTATTCTCCTTTTAAAAGTTTTATCATCATGGATGACTAACATCACTGGGAGGGATTCCTTCCAAGTAAATCGATGCAATGTCTACAAAATAAAGTATTTTCGTTTCGGAACAAATCGCTATCATCTTTTAATTTAAACATTCCATGCCTCCTAGCTTTGAACCGTAAGAAGAAAATGAGAAACAACGCGAAAGAACACATTTCTCAAAAGACAAAGTCAAGCTAAACTTGGACAAAGGTAGCGTGAGAACACGGTCTGAAAACTTTTCTCTCCCATGCGTATCACCGGATTGCCCAATATAATGCAAGAAAATATTATATTCAGAATGAAATAGTTACAGTGGGCCTCCTTACGACCCTACAAGACTCCTCTTAGACACACTTTCGTTATGATTTATTTCTATTTTAAAGTAGAGATGCAACAACATATACTTCCGTCAATAACGGTTGCGTACAATTATAATGCCGCCATTTCTTTCAGAATTAACACATCTCAGCCAACACTTGTAAAACTCTCAATCAATCGTAGCGCACTAAGTGCGAATATTAAATTCATTCACAGCCCATCAACAACAATCCAAAAGTCCATTCCATTCACAC